CATTTCATTTGTCCTGATATGTAAAAATAATAACAAATAGTAAATTTCACAATATAATTTTTAGTTTTATAATGTCACCTCCACTGGCCAGAAAGGTTCCTGAAAAGGCCCATGGACCACCAGTTGATGATCACAGTTGTAGCTTGTTTTTGCGGCTCTGGACATCTTTTGACCCCGACCTAGTCTAATCCACCTCTTGGTGGCGCACCTGGACACAAAGGGGGAAAAAATGTAGTGGAAGCTCAGAGACACGTGGAAATGTTCTTACATAGCCACTAGATGGCGCTATAATTTAAAGATTGGGTCTCATTGTGCCTTTCTCCTGTTTTCTTTGATCATTCATTTAATCACCTCAGTGCAGAATCACATCAAACAAATTACAAATTACAAACCTCCTCCTTTAAAACAAATGAGCTCCCTCCCCTCAGAAACAGTCACCCACTCACATTTTTTAGGAATTTTTTTTTTTTTTTTGCCGACGTAAAATGACAAACGGCATCGCCCCGCCCCTTTTTGAGCGCCTGGTCTCCTCGAGGTGCCCCTGTCTGGCAGCCCAGCACGGTTTTGGTTTCAACAACGTCAAAATGACCCACGGATCATTCACTCACTGATCCGAGCAGACCCCCGCTGACCTCGGCCACTCCCCCAGCTGATGCCCGGAGGGAGGCTCCCGGAGCCAGAGGCGACCTCCCGGCCTCTCTGCCCGCTCTCCTGAGGAGCCGAAGCCCTTAGAATAACACCGACCGCCGCTATGAGGCGAATAACGGGAAGGGAGAAGGAAGAAACTTTGATCGAGCTGAAGAGCGCCTCGGATTCTCAGATTGCAGGTCAGTAGACATATTTATACTTATTATTCTTCACAGAATCTCAGGTTTTTGTCTCCTGGGGACTGTCMGTTATATTTGTTATTAATGAAGCTGCATGCGGTTCACCTCACTGACAGGAGCTGCTGAGGGGTTAAGTAGCTACATGTTGCAGCTCCTAATCCTCCTTCCTGAGCTCATTAAGAAAAGAAGCTACATTAAACATAATTATYACATTAGGATTACACAGCAAATCTMGAGTCATCCCTCYTTTTTTGAGACTTTGCTTCCAGACTTTTTTTTTCTAATTGGATCAGAATTCCTTCAGGCCTCCTGGAGCACTTTTAAAGTTTTATTTTTGCAGCTTTTCCACTCKTCTTCTGGCTAGTTTTTCCAGTTTGATCATTTTCAGATGAATGTTTTTCTGCTTAGTTAACCTCCTGACTCTGACCTAAAAATCCTGCAGGTTCCTAAAGGTCAGAGTGAACCTGTTGTCAAAACAAAACCCACAACTCACCAAAACAAAGTCTTAATAGTATCTGCTACCAGCAGATTGTCTTAAACACACAGTTTGATCCAGGTTATTTTGTTGGATACGKTTAAACAAATACACGACTATTTGAAAGGCATAAAAACATATTTTGGCATAATCAACAGGTTTCTCTGCTTAAGCTCTTATATAAAAACTTGAGATGCAGAGGATCAGCTGAAGGATGCCRCATCAGGTCTGGTGTCAAGGATTACTGGATTTTTTTTTCTGTAAGACATGACTTCATCTGTTGGAGGGAGTATTTTTAGGTCTGACGCTTCTTTTGTTTGTCCAAAAATGACAATCTTCTGCCCTGATCAGGCCCAAGGACTGGACACCAATCTATTTAAGCAAGACCAAAAAACACTTGAAAGAGTGGCTTCTTTGAAACAAAACATAATGAAATAATTGTTGGTTAAAAATTAAATTGTAAATATAARCAGCTTTCCTACATATTTGTCAGTTGTTATGTATTCAACAAAACTTTGGACAAAAAGTAAGGAAAGTTGTGTTTGGTAGATTATTTCTTTGTAACAATGCATTTTATACTGTGGGAAAGCTGTTAATTTCCATTTTAAATTGCTAAGAAGCATTGTTAGGGATGCAAGTTATRGATTAATGAATTAATCTAAAGTTGACTGATCTGATCAATAGACTAACAATTAATTGATAAGTGGCCATTTTCCTAAAAACCTGACATTTCTCTTGAATCAAGGGTCTTTCTAGAACATGAAGGGCTAATGTTTTACACTAAATGAACAAAGTACAGTATTGTATTTTATAAAATGTATAGTACCAGTTGTATTAAACACTGACTGAATAAACAGAAAAGTGTGGATTTTTCTCACATGATTAAACTTGGACATAGGCCTATTTATAAAATATAACAAAACAGGAATCTGTTTAATTGAAAAAAGGAAAGAAAAAAGAAGTAAAACACTTAATCCACCCTGAACAGAGAAATGTAAAACTAACATTTAAACACAGGGTAACATTTTAATCTAAAGATTTGCTCAAAAACAAACTGTAAACATGACCTGAGAGGGCTGAACATACAAATGAGTACTGGAACTGTTTGTTTACATTCTCTGTGTTTCATGCTGCTACATGATTTGACGTCACTTGATTTGTTCACTGGCCGGATTGTCATACAGATGAGATTAACTACACGTTAATTATTCGTAGTGACTAACCTTTTTTGTTTTGTTCTTTCACATGGAGTCAAATTCTACAAGAAGCTAACTTTAACTTTTTATTTGACAATTAATCGTAAGTCGATTAATTGTTTGCATCCCTAATTGTTACAACAAAGAAATACTCTACCAAATACAAATCGTCCAATCTCTAACCTGCCCTTCATCTCCAAGATTCTGGAAAAAGTTGTTGCCAGTCAACTCCACTCTCACCTTTCCAGCAATAACCTTTATGGAGGAGTTTCAATCTGGTTTTCGCCCCCACCACCACAGCACCGAAACCGCCCTCATAAAAATCACCAACGATCTTCTCCTTGCTGCCGACTCTGATCTCCCGTCCATCCTCATCCTCCTTGACCTAAGTGCTGCTTTTGATACAATCTCTCATTCTATCCTCCCCCAACAGACTCACATCCATTGGCATCTCAGGTACTGTGTTTAACTGGCTCAAATCTTATCTTTCTGACCGTACTCAATTCATCCAGATTAAATCCTTCCGCTCTGAGTCATCCCCTGTCTCCACTGGCGTGCCCCAAGGCWCTGTCCCTGGACCCCTTCTCWTCATTACTTACCTCCTTCCTCTTGGTTACATTTTCCGCAAGTTTGGTGTCCGTTTCATTGTTATGCCGATGACACACAGRTCTACRTGTCAACCAAGCCAAACTCCACARACCCTCCCTCCATCCTCTCTGACTGTCTCAATGAACCCAATCACTGGTTTTCAGAAAATTTCRTTCAACTGAATAGTAGGCCTGTGTATTGGCAAGAATTTGGCGATACGATACATATCATGACAGAGGGGTCACGATACAATATATCCGGATATATTGCGATACTGTAAGCAAGGCGATATATTGTGATATATTGCGATATATTGCAATTTTTTTTGGTCCAAAAATTCTGTTAAATAAAAACCTCTTACTGGAAAAAAAAAAAGAAAAATCAAAATTCATTGTCTCATAAAATTCTATTACAGACATGCGCTAGCCTTCTGTAACGTGAAGGTTGACTAAAGTTGGAAAATGAGCGCAGGAGACACTTAATTTGGTTTAAAATACAGACATTCTGACAAATAAGTAACTGTTCGTAACCTTACCTCAGCTTAGGAGGCAGAGGGTGTCGGTCTTTTCCGCTCAGATTCAGCTATCGGAGCATGAAGCTAATGTTTACTTACAATGCTAAAGCTCTCTTACTCTCTGGCYCTCAAGAGGTAGAGGAGCCAAATGGCTGGCTCACTGCTGCCAACTAGTGGTCAGAGGCTGAACTACAACATAAAAATGAACGGCTGGCAGGAAAGTTGACATTTTAAAACTTAATAAAAATCGATACAGGGCTTTAGAATATCGATACAGTATCGGGAAATGAAATATCGCGATATTTCAGTGTATCGATATTTTCTTACACCCCTAAGAAATATCAACCGTCTCTGTCCTTCTCTCACACCCCGCACCTCAGCCATCCTTGTCCACAGTCTTGTGACCTCACGGYTTGATTACTGTAACTCTCTTCTTTTTGGCCTCCCCAACAAATCCCTCCATCAGCTTCAGATGGTCCAGAACTCAGCTGCACTTGTRGTCACCCAAACCTCCTCCCACAACCGCATCACCCCAGTCCTGCAGCAGCTCCACTGGCTCCCGGTCAAATCACGRATCGTCTTCAGAATTATTCTTCTCACGTTCAAAGCTATCCACCATCTTGCCCCTCCCTACATGTCRGACCTCGTACACATTTCCCTCCCCTCCCGCTCTCTCAGATCCTCTTCTTCCCTAAATCTCCAAATACCCACTGCCCGCCTCTCCACCATGGGGAGCAGGGCCTTCACCTGTTCTGCTCCTCTCCTCTGGAACTCTCTACCACCMGACCTAAYAAACACCTCCTCTCTTCCTGTGTTCAAGACTGCTTTGAAAACACATCTCTTTATTAGCATATCCATCTTAACTTCATTTGTAAACAATTCTCTGTAACTCATGCCAGCTTGTCTCTAACTYTAGTTTCACACATTCTCCTATGATGTGCCAAATGCTGTAAGTGTCCTTGGGTGTCCTGAAAGGTGCTTTTCAAATAAAATTATTATTATTATTATTATTATTATTATTATTACAAATTTCCTTACTTTTTGTACTAAGTAGTCATTTGTTATGCWGTTGTGTAGTTTCTGATGATTTKTGGACACTTGATGAAGCGAACACTAAACTATTTTCATCTTGTGTTTGTGGGTAAATTCAGGTTATTAACAGTGTGGCGACGCTGGCAGGTGTTGATTGGCGCAAACTAAAATATCAGTTTTAGCTGATGTCACAATAACAGACATTTTACCTGCAAATATCCATCAAACACCAATAACTTTGGACCATCTTTTAGTTTCAAGACTTGCTCCTTCTGACCCATAGAATAACAATGTTGTGACCCCAACTTTTCCTATTGGAAGTATCCAAACATAGATAAAAGGACAGTTAATCAACTATTTTATAACTTATTACAACAAATGACAAAAACATGCTGCTATCTATTATTTTTACTTGTAATTAGATTTCCTGACATCATTTTATAGACTCTGCATGTGGTGTTTTATGGTCCGCTAAGGAAGATAACCCCAGTTATTTTCCTGAATAGTGTCTCGAGAGGATTTTTGTAGTAAATGGTGCTATATAAATAAACTGAATTAATCTTGAAATGAACAACGGTGGGTAATATACATTATTTTATGAAATATAAGGGCTTTAATTGGTTTATGTTATAGTCATGTGAAAACTTTTCCTGTTTTAATTTAGTTTAATCGTATCTCTGTTCCTTTCTTTGTAAAATAGAAGGATTAAGGATTTAGTGAGGCTGGTAAAAGGTTAACATAATCAGAAATGAAGCACACAGTTGAATAAAAATGTTTTTCTCCTCTCAGGATGCAGCTGAACTTAATATTTYTTCCTGAAACCGTTTCCTGTTAGCCAGTGAGGCCTTCAGGTCAGAGGTTTCAGGCCGTACTCATGAGAACATATTTTATTGTTTAGACAACTAAAGCACATCAATGTGTTTTTGGGTAGAAGTGGGATTGAATTATATAAACGTGTTTCCATTTATAAAAGATAAAACCCTCTGARGTCACCATTTTCACAGAAGTTCTGCTCAGTAATGAGTTGTTTACGTAGGTCTGCAACTTTTTCTGCTTCTAATCATCAATAAGAAACTTGTCGCATTTTAATTGGCAAGAATTTAGTCTTAATTGTGTATATTTTACATTAGCAATTAAATAGAAAAAGTGGAAAGGCACGTTGGTTCCTCTGTAAAGATCTCATTAACTGTGTGTGAATAAAAAATCTTTTTATCCTCATTCGCAGAGCAGCAGATTAGTTTAATGAAAWATGTTTTATTCATGGATGTAATACACTGACACAGCTGATCGACCAAACTGGGATCCAAATGATTTTATTACAGGGATTAATTATTCAGAATAAGTCTCATTATTGTCTGTCAATGTTAAAGATGAGCTGTTGTGTAATTGAATGTGTCTGTGAGTGTTTGTGTTTGTTTACGTGTTTGTTAGCAAAATATCTCATGGATCACTGAGCAGATTTTATTAAAACTCAAACTAGACTGGATCTACACCTGATGAGACCGGGTTCAGTAAGGTTGCCACATCTGATGGACTTAAGCAAACATAAAAATGCTACAACTCAGTCATATTGACAGATGTTGTGAAACATTACTTCTTATCTTTTTTACAGAAAAAATATTTAAATCATAATCATGATTAGATAGATAGATAGATAGATAGATAGATAGATAGATAGATAGATAGATAGATAGATAGATAGATAGATAGATAGATAGATAGATAGAT